CACATTTTACACTGTAACCTAGGACAGGGTCAGATTGTAAAGAGCACCAAGATTTGGCCCTTAGAAGTATGTTGTCCATTGCTTAGTATAGCCTCCGGTTTTGATGCCTTTTTAATTTTGAAAAGTTGGTCAACTGTATGTTAAATTGTTACATATGCCCTACATTGTTCACAGTACCTTTTACTTGTGTGTACGTGTAGAAACAAATAAGGAAGCAAAAAATGGAGAAAAAAGGTAGCTAGTGAGGGTTATGATTTACAAGTGATAAATAATTCTGTATTTCTTTTTTTCTAGTAAATATTTCCAATAGAGTTTTGGGAGGTATTCGGCTCATCAGCCAGTAAGTGCAAGAACAGTGGTTTTTGGCAGCCTGCTGCCACTCCAGAAGGCAGCATATCTTTTTTAGGTCCTGTCTGTCAGCCTGATGCGGACATCTCAAAACCCTTCAGTGACTTAAATGGCTCGAATGTGAGCAGCTGAATTGAGCTGTAGGTATCTAGTTTTGCAGGAGGCTCCATTGACTTTATGGTCTATATCTCAATTGACTAAAATGGGAGACAACTGATCTTCAAGGTGGGCCCCTTCATGTAACGTCCTAGATTCAGGTGTCTGAAGTTTCTTCTCTAGCACATGTGTCAAAACTGCATTTAGATACTTAAATTCAGATGTGCTGGGTTCAGACAGAACCCTGCACAGTTTCCTCCTACTACTTAATTTTAGAAAGCAAAGTCACTCAGGTTTTATTTATTTATTTATTTACCTACTTATTTATTTGTTGGGAGACAATAAGCCTTATTACAGCACAAGCCAATACCAGATTCTCTAGAGATATCTTTACTTAGGTGGAATTAAGTTTGCCCTGGGAGTAGGCAAGTTTTAGTAAAAATACTGGACAGTAGACAGTATCCTAGGTGATTTATATTGCCAGGATTATAACAAAATAAATTCTGTTTCTTTGCTGTGTCTTGTAGGCTTACTTGTACAAAAGTGACATTTTGCAGAAGTTACAAAATAGCTCTGATCATCGGAGTTACTTACTGAACATATTTCTGCACATTTCCTTTTTTGAAAAATTCTAAAGTGAAGTCTAAATGTAAAGTTAATATTTTACCACAGACAAAATCTGTCTTTTCTACACAATATCTCTAGAAAGGAAGACAGATTATATTGATATTCCAGCACCATTAGTTTATCACTATGACTTTTTAGAGCTACAGAGTATTTCAATTTTTTATTAGTAGCATTTCCATTTATTATTGCAGCTAAATTTGATAAAGACAAAAAATTGCTACAGACTATATTATTGATTGTGGAATTATGAGGCAAGGATATAAAAAATGAGTTAAAGCATTAAATTAATTCATTTTCCATTTCTGCATAGTTCAATCCCATGTTTTGTGGAGGTTAAAGGGTATTTTACAAATGAATTGATAAAGCCAGTATATATAGTTTTCTCATAGAGTTATCTGCTGTGTCGTATTATATGTGAATAAAACTCATTATCTGTTTTGTTTGTGCAGTAATTATGTTTTGTTGTCCTGTGCATTCCTTTTGCTCTCTCCATCTCATAATACGTGCTGTAAAGGCACACATAAATAAATAGGATAAACAAATTAAGCTGTTTAAATAAATTAATTTACTCTGCAGCTCTATATTCAAATCTTATGTGCTCACTGGATTTCATTTTAATGAAACCCTTCTAAGAACAATACATTGTATGCCAAACAGTGAAATTATATATTAAATGAATGATTAAATATACCGTGTTCCAATTTATACCAAATCTGCACGCTGTGCATGCTTAAATCCTCCTAAATCTAAAGAAATAAATCTTCTACATTCTGAAAACATCTGCATTATAATCCTCTTGAATACTTGGTTCATGGACATATAAACACAATCAAAGTCATAATAAGCCTAGAGTTATGATGCAGTTAAACTATCCTCATCAATGTTTTTGACTTAAAAACCCGAGACTATTAAAGTGGAATCCACTTAAATGTCTTGAAACATTGCTCTGAAAGGTCTTCTCCCATTCCATTGATAGGTGCATTGAATCCCTTTGCAATCAGAATCTCAAGTTTAGCAAATATTTATTACAAAGCTTACCTGGAACAAATCTATTGATTACTATAGATGGTCATGTGGCTAGGTTTCACAGGAATGCATTAAGAGAAATACATGCTTATCTAGCTACTGTGCAATAAAAATAATGACTGCTGCAAAGCAATTTGTTGTGTGAGGAACATGATGCTCTTTTCAGGAAAATATTTAGGTTTTTGCAGTAGCAAGTTTTCATATGTGTTATTTAAACACATACTGGTAATCTTCATTACTGAAAGCTTTTAGTGAGTTGAATGTATACAGTTGTTTGTTTGCTTTTTTGTTTTTGGTTTGGGTTGGTTGTTTTTTTTTCATTAGGAGTCAGGATTTCAATCATCAAAAGGAAAAAAAGCCCAACAACCAAGAGACCACTAGTTTTCAGTCCTTCCAATAGCTTTCCCTTATAGGAACTATTTATTTTTGTCACTATTTGACCAAACCAACCTAATTCACAAATACTTTAGCAATGACATTGGGTCTTGGGACCTATTGGCAAAAAAAGGAAACTGTAAAAAGGGAATTTTCTACAAAGGACTGTTCTGTACTCAGCTCCCTTTGTTTATTGTTTCTGCCAAAGTTCTGTGTGAATGTATCTATCTGCTGCGTACTGATGGTTCTCACATAGCAGAAATGCAGTTCAAACCATCACAGTCCTCATGCTCTAATTTTCAAAATCAAGGAACATCTTGAAGTGCATCATAGGTCCTTCTGGCTACTATGCCAGGCTTTGCCGTGGATAGAAAAACATGAATGGGCATTTTTCCCCGTTTTGAAGTAGTGATATAGCCAGTGATATGGCTACACTCTTCCAAAAAGTGTGATTCGTTCCAAGTTTGTGCTCCATGGTATAAACAGAAATTTGGACTTTCATCAGCCATGTGACTGATAGAGGTTCAGTAGGGAGATTATATTTTCTTTATGATCCGAAGCAATTTGATATGATCCCAGTGCTCAAGAAGCTCCTTCGAAATTAAAAAGTAGAGTAAAATTCAGCATAAGCTAAACCAGCAGTGTCTGGTCTGTATTTATTTATAGAAGTACATCATTCCTCATCCTGTAAGGCTAAAGTATATAAGCCAAAATGTATATTTCCAATTCAACAGCATGCCGATAGAAGTATGGGGAAAGAAAAGCCCGAAAGCAAAATGAAAAGTCTTATTTTTGTAAGTAGTCCAGAAAGCAGTTTAAAAACCTGATGGGATGAGAAGTGCCCACATTGCATAATAAAATGTAAGGTCTAGTGTCCTAAAATTGCTGTTTCCTTTGAGAATACTCTGAAAGGTATTGGACACCTCAACAGAGGAAAGAATAGGTTGTAATTAAGGAGGAGATACAGTTTAGGGAAGTGATGTTTGGAAACAGAGTTTTAGTTTAACATTGCCTTTTTTTTGCAATTATTTTTTGTGGGGTCTAGGAACGTGTTCCAGACAGCCCTTCTCCTGCTCCTTCTCTTGAAGAGGGCCGAAGACCTGGCAGCCATCCATCCTCTCATCGAAGCAGCAGTGTGTCCAGCTCTCCTGCACGGACTGAGAGCTCTTCAGACAGAATCCGTAGGTCACATTCTTCTCCTTGTCACCACTTTAAATTTGATTAGGTGCAGCTGGTTTTTCTAATCAAAATGCCCTCATCTTAAATAGATCTCATATGTATCATGTTCTGGAGTTCAGCTGCAATAACTATCTCCCAACATTATGTTCCCCAGTTTACAGTATTATAATATCTGATGTTACATTAACGGGTACTGATATAAACTGCCATCATGACATATTAAAGATATGAGCTATGAAATATAGAATTGCAACTGGGAAGCAATTTGCTAGATTAGTTTTAGAACCAAACATATAGTGTAAACATTTTTTAAGGAAATTGAGGTTTATTTAATATGGTTGCTCTGGTTTGATTTCTAAATTGAATCTGACTTCATAAGCAACATTTTACATGGTAGAATTGCTTGGTAAAGAGAAGAATTAGGTTAAATCAATTAAAAACGTAAAAAATCTTAAATAAAAATTTGTAGTGGTGAGAAATAGGATACGGAGAGTATTATCACCTCATAGTTCACAAGGGGCAAAGTGAAATTAAACCATGGTGTCTCAGAGTAATACCATTTTTATCCAATCTCCATGTACAAGATGTAAATTACATGGCAAAGACTCCGAATTCTATGATTTTCAAGTGCAACAGCCTGGAAATTAAGGTTTTAAATTCAGACTATTTTATGAATATTTACTTATATTCATATTAAACTTGTCCGTTCCTTTTATTACTGCTTCGTTGCAAGCTTTTGTGCTTTTAGGGCATCTTTCCACAGTGGAATTTGTCAGTAAGTGGAACTGGAGGATTTGACATACAGATAGAAGGCCATGAAATAGGTATTTGAAATACGTAGTCATGTTGATTAGATGCAGCACATGTGTCTTTTAGACTGCTTCCTTTCAGGCTCTCTGCAGACTCAGGAAGCTGGTTCATCATTGACCTTAAGATGAAAGATCTTTCATTACTTTGTGATGAAAAACGACTTACCAAAGAAAAGAAATGAGGCCTGACCATGACAAGCTGAAAATTCTGTTTTCTCATCACTTGGACGATTCAGAGTGCAGATTAAACTGGCATCCCGTATACTGTGACCAGGCTCAACCCACAAGCCTGTTGTTATTTTTTTCTCCCCTGTCCAGCTGAGGAGGGGAGTGATAGAGCAGCTTTGGTGGGCATCTGGCATCCAGCCAGGGTCAACCCACCACAGAGTTCATAAGTAAAGTTCTGGGAAAAAACTTCACAACCCTGGATATTTTTTTTTTTTTTTAATTGATTGAATAGTGTATTTTTTTAGAACCATTGAAGACATTTTCCATTATTCTCTAAATAAAAAAATGTAAATTTAATTAAATTCAGAAGTAGTTACTGGCTTTGCTAAGGAATGACACCTCTTTTTTTGAAAGAAATGGTACTACTCAGCCTCCTCTGCTTACTTACCAGCAGAGATGAGTGGGACCTTCCAATGTGAACATAAGAGAGTTCCTTAAATACTGTATCACTTCAGTAATTTATTTATTTATAAAATAGAATCATAGAATCATAGAATCATCCATGTTGGAAAAGACCTTTAAGACCATCAAGTCCAACAGTTAAACTAGCGCTGCCGAGTCCACCACTAAACCATGTCACTAAGCACCACATTTATATGTTTTTTATACGCCTCCAGGGATGGTGACTCAACTACTTCCCTGGGCAACCTGTTCCAATGCTTGACAACCTTTCCAGTAAAGAAATTTTTGCTAACATCCAATCTAAGCCTCCCCTGGTGCAACTTGGAGGCCTTTTCCTCTTGTCGTAGCACTTGTTACTTGGGAGAAGAGACTGACCCCCACCTCACTACAACCTCCTTTCAGGTAGTTGTAGAGAGCAGTAAGGTCTCCCCTCAGCCTCCTCTTCTCCAGGCTAAACAATCCCAGTTCCCTCAGCCGCTCCTCATAAGACCTGTTCTCCAGGCCCTTCACCAGCTTCATTGCCCTTCTGTGGACATGCTCCAGCACCTCAATGTCTTTCTTGTAGTGAGGGGCTTGAAACTGCACACAGTATTTGAGGTGTAGCCTCACCAGTGCCAACACCCCCCGATCCTTTTCCGCTGGGCAGCTTTCCAGCCACTCACCCCCAAGCCTGTAGCACTGCATGGGATTGTTGTGACCCAAGTTCAGGACCCAGCACTTGGCCTTGTTGAGCCTCATACAAGTCATAACTCTTTTCTATCCTATCTGATTTGTTAACATCACTCATGGTGCTTAAATACATCTGCTTTTGTGTGGCCAGCGAGAGTAAGATGTCTGCTGCAGAAATATGGTTTACATATGAAAAAATGCTTTACTGAAAATGGCACAAACCTCTTACAAATACAATTTTTCAGGATAAAAGCATAGGGATATAAACTACCTTATATGTGTTTTTGAGATGTGTTTGAGACTCGTGAAGATCCATTAATCTGATCAGCAAATAAGCAATTCTACTGTTGCACAGTATATTTTTAAAAATGGTGTTTATCACCTGGAAAGCCACAATGCTTAATTTAAGGAGGTCAAGGACTGCGTGTTGCGAACACTAATATACAAGAGTTTTTGTACAACTATCTAAAAAAAAAAATCTGTAAGTATCTCATGTAAAACCTTCTATGCTTTTCTGATTGCTTTATTTTACATTTCAGGTCTTTTTAAATAAACAGGAAAACGTTTGCAAATATTCATCTGTGTCCAAAGACACTGAACTCTTCTTTCTAACATGAATTCTCTTAAACCAGAAGTAACAGGAATAAACTCCCCTGCTGTGTGGATACTGATAGCACAAATTAAGTAACTTTGTGATTATTACAATTCTTGTATAATTAAGAAGAAGACTATATAAGTATAAAAGTCTTTTGTTAATATGACAGCTGATTTTCTTTCTGCTTGTGCTTGTGTCTAGCAGCTGTCCATCAGAACGGGCTATCTATGAACCAAATGCTGATGGGTTTGTCACCTAATGTCCTGCCTGGACCTAAGGAGGGTGATCTGGCTGGTCATGATGTGGGACATGAGACAAAGAGAATACACATTGAGAAAGGTAATATGAACATTATGATTGTGCTGTTTCAGTGTAAAACAAATATTGTCTCAACAACTAAATAGTATTATAGTTGTGATTTTTGTTTTTTTAATTGGTATTTGTTTGTTTATGTTTCACAAATTAAGTTATAACAGGATGATAGCATTCTTGATTCTTCTACTTTGTGGTCCTTGAGATTAATGAACAATATTTATATGAAGGTGGAGTTTCGTAAGTATTACAAAGAAGGATGAGTGAAAAACAATTTTACATTACTATTGTGTCTCTGACCCTTCTACAACACTGTTTAGGTATTAAGTTTCTGTCTCCATCCAGTTGACTTTAATGACCTACTTCCCAAAGGGACTGAGCACCGTGAAAATTAGTCCATGTGTGCAAAAAGAAAAAAAGCTAATACCAAGCCATTAAATTAGGGAACTGCATAAAATAAGGCTGGTACACATTATATAATGGGATTTAAATTTAATTGAGTATATGACCAAAGTGTTTGATCTAGGTGAATAGTCCACATGCACTTATGCTGATTATGACACCATTTCATCTCTGTTGCTATTCAAAGTTAAGTTCCTGTTCAGGGTTGTTACAGGGGATTTCGGAGGGGTGTGTGTGTTTGTGTGTAATTTTGAAAGGTGCATTTCATGTTGTATTTACTTCATATATGTGAATTTGAAGTATTATAGGCTAGAAACATTTTGGTTAAAGAGAGGTTAGAAATATGACATATCCTTCAAAAATAATATTCTTTGGACATCAGAAAAGTCAGTTCTTTGAGCACAATGAGAGGAAAAGTAAAAGGTATAATAGCCAGACATTGGAACAGAGATGGAGAAACTGCTGCAGTAATGAGGATTTTAGAATAAGACATTTTGTGCCATACTTTAATAGCTATAAGATGATACCTTCTCTGTCTTGTGTTTAAGCACTGAGATATGAAAGAATTAAAATCTGGACAATTCTATTCTGGACAGGTGGCAGTTTTAATAGGATTACCAGAAAAATTAATGGAAACAACATTTCTTTTATATAAACCATTTAGTTTGGTTCATTGCACACACAACCTGTTTTAGCTTATACTATGCCCTCACTCAGCCCCTGCAAATTGTATCCCTGCTGTGAAGTATGATGTGATCAAATAGGTTTGTTTTGAATTTCCATAAATGATTTTATTTCAGCCTTTGAAGTTACTCGTTTAACTGTAATCAGACTGGTAAATCCTATAAAGAGAAGTACATAGTAAGAATTGCTACTATTTTTGTATGACATTCAGGTTTTCTAAAGGCTTTGTTTAAAATGGCACCCCAAATGTATTTTCCAATCTGTTGCCGGTTCACGTTTTTGCAAGATCTGTTCTCAGTAAAACTGCTGAGAATTCTCTTTTTTCCTCAGTCCTTGTTTAGGTCAAACCTTCTATTTTTTGTTCTTTTTCCCCCCTTTGTTCCAGCCTACTGAATTAATGGTAAATATTCATGGGCTATCTAGATTGATAGGGTATACTAAATTAAAAATTGTTTTCTGTCATGACTACATTTATCATGTCTCTCATACCAATCTTATAACTTTAATGCTAATCTAATCTGTATTAAAACAAGTGATTTAATTTATAGATATTTGTGGAGATTGTAATTATCTACTTCTGTCACTGTGAGCTTGCAATCAGATTTCCAAACTGTTGCTTACCACTGCAAATCAGTCAGAATGCAACCATATTTAAATATGTCGAAACCCCATCACCTGCATCGTCTGAGTCAAAAGAAAAAGAAAGAGAGGATAAGAGAAGTTCTGAATAAGTATCATGAAGCATTTAAACATTACTGTGTTTTATTCTAAACTACCTTTGTTGACAGAAATCTATCAGCTGCAACAAAAATGGCTTTTAATTGAAGCTGGGAGAACCTGGGAAATCCTGCTTGGCAAAGGAGGCCCTGTCTTTTCTTTTCTTGTCTCCTCTTCCATTAAGAAAACAGAAAGGCCAAAAATCTCTGAAGTGATCTGAGATCAGGGAAAATTTAATTACAGTCAACAGAGAATTTCAAAGGGGGATCAAATTTATAACAGAGGCAACTGATCAACATATGAAATTTTGAAAAGACTTAGCATATATCAGAGGGGTGGATCATTTATTTGACCTGATCTATAAGTTGTATAAAGATGAAAAAATACCATTTATCTGTTATAAACATAAAACAAAGGAGCTGATTTACCCAGTCCATGCAACATAGTGTAATATATTTAGAAACAGTTCATTGGCACTTGCAAACTGAGTAATGGCTTCAGGGTATTCAGTCTTTTGAAGATCGTATGAATTTCTGTTCAGAATTCGGCCAGAATTATTATTAGTGGCAAAAATGAGTTTATTTTACTGGGGTTGTTTAAGCTACTAGTAAATCTCTTGTGTGGTTTTGAGTTTTTTCACATTTAGACTGTCTTCAAAATCTGTTCTCAGGTTCTGGTGTGTGCAGCGTTGAGTGATTTCATCTTCCATTGGAGTCAGGTTGTCATTATCTCACCAAGAATCAGATTAGGTTCTATGAATCTGATTCACTGCCTGTTGAAATTGGAAAGTTTGCATCAGGCTCAGGGTCAACATTTGTTGCAGGAAAACAGGAAGAGTTTCTGTTCCTAAAGACCATTTGTAAACCGTGGGTGTTGGGAACATTTTCCACCTGCTAAGTACAGATGTGCAACTTGTCCATGTCCTAGCTTCATGTTGGGGCAAAACCCAATGTACACATCTGAAGTTTCACTCGCTCTCCGGGTACCATGAGAAAAAAAACTTAAATTTGCTAAAGGTTATGCTGTGGTCCAGCCAGGTTCCTAGTCTGGACTAGGGAGGACTGCAGGAGATACTGCAGAGCACTTCTGCCCCATGATTCATACATAACTCAAGATGTCATTATCTGTATGACCGGAGAAGTCAACTACCCTAGATTTCCAGGATTTTTTCCTTATTAGAGGATAGCAGATTTTCCAATTTTACTGAAAGCAGGCTGTAGAACTGCAAATGATCCTGGGACGAATGAGGTAAGTTCAAGCACACAGTGTTAGTTCAAGTACTTGACAGCCATCATCAAAACCGAGTATCTAATTTTGTAACCTGTAATTATGGACTATTTGGTGATGGACATTTGGTTTTATTAGGTCAGATTTCACAAGAAGGACTTACGTGAAGTATAGGAGTCATATTAGAAAAGATCCATTCAGGTTTTTGTGTTAAAACTAAAACTCTGTGTCTTTTCAGGTAAAGTTTCTATGACTCAAAAGGGTTTGCTCTAGATAGTCCTTCAATTTTGGTGAGGTGTATTTTATCACTTATCCCACTCAGCTGTTATCTGAGGTCCTGCAGATCTCCCAGTCTGAAGTTGCGAGGAGTGTATTTTTTATGTTTTTATGGGGCTGAATACTCAGTGATGCTGTCTATTAAATCTGGAAGTAGCATGGGAAGGAGGAACTATCGGAGAACCTATGGACTAGACTGCTGAATCCTGATCCTCTCTTCTTGCTCATTGATCTGAAGTGTTTAGAAAAAAAAAAGTTCAAAATAATTAATTGCTTGGAAGTTAAACTCACACCCCTTGGAGATGTGGATCCTAGTTCCTTGTAGGCAGAAGAGAGAATTGAACTTGTGACACATTTCCTGAGCAGTATCCTTAATCACTGTGCTATGTGTTAAAGAGGGAAGTGTATTTTACCATTGTCCCTTTGCCCTTACAACCCAGGTCCTGGTCATACGGGATCTGTCAAGGTGGAACTTACAGCTCAGTCCTATTGCCAGTGTTTCTCTTATTTACTAGCTCCAGATAGCTGCATATGATTTTCTGTTGACTTTAGACAGACTGTAGTTCTACTTGTTAACTTCATTAGATTCCAAACTGCAGTGCCTTTTTTGGGGAATGTTAAGTGATGTTGGAAGCAGTGGCCGCTTGTAAGACCCCGAACAGGTACCTGCCTAGCAATACCTACCCTGTACACTATACAGGAATGTAAGACCCAGCTCACTTCAGCCCAAGATTCTCTTCTGGGGGACAAACACCTAAGTTAGTTGCTTTAACACCAAATTTAGATGCTTAAGTGTTTTACTGGATCTGGCCCTAGGGCATCAGATTAGAATTTTCTGTCTGCATCAATTTATATTTTTTTAGATCGACACCAACAGCAAATGAAGCCTGAATGTCATGCTTACATTTGAAATTGAATATGTTATTTGAGGTGTTATCGGAAGGACACTCTCTTGTTGCGAATATCCATGCTGTTTCCTATAACAAAATATAAAATATTCACCATGTTCACAGAAGAAGCTAAATTGTTTCTTTCAGCAAACTTTTAACCTGTGATATTAATGGAAATTTCTTAAGTAATTTTCAGATAATCAACAGTAACTGCTTCTTGACTGATAGCAGCAATTAAGGTATAACTTTATCAAATCTACACATCAAAAAGTCCCAGTCACTCTCTCTTTTTTCTTATTTTATGTCCCCCTGTAGAGATGTGAGCAATCTTAGACCTCTGGCTAATGTCTTATAAAATAGAATATTAACATTCCAAAATATCCTTAGTGCAAAAGAGAAAATAATTTAAATATTTCAAAGTTATAATTAGAATTGTATTATCTGCTAGCATTCATGCATCAAAAAGGGAACTAATGATAAATATGTCATCCTATATAGTTAGATATTCATTCTGAATTATCAGCAGCAAATTAATAATTTATAATTTTATGATTATAAATGTATAATATATATACATAGTGCAAATGTATATCAAGCATGCCTATTCATCTTAATAAATATAGAAACGCGTATGAATATGTTTTTATAAATGTGAAAGACTCAGTGAAAGTTTTAGTATCAACAAAGTTTCTCTTCTACTTGAGCTGTCCTCTAGCAATCATCAAACAAATGATCCGGAACTTTGCTTAAATTCTGCTTCTGGTCTGTGTTACAATTTTGGTTAGTACTCTGAGAAAGCCCGATTTTAAAAAGAGTTGTTACCAGTTGATG